CTGGGTTGTTGCTGAGCATTCCCCGTGCCCTGGGTTGTTGCTGAGCACAGCCCCCTGGCAGCCTGGCTGCCCCTCTGTTCCCTGGGCTCCCTGCAGTGTCCCAGTCCCCACCCTGCTCCCAGCTCTGCCTCCAGGGTCCCCTCTCAGGACCCCGAGGCAAAGAAGCCCCCGTGGGTGATGGGGCTGAAGGGAAGGAGCCTTCCTGGCGTGGGACAGGCCGAGGTGGGGCTGCCCTCCAGCAGTGGGGAAGGCGAGGGGTTAATGTCTCCCCCTGGGGACTCTCAGTGCCCCCTCAGGACCTCCTGCCATCCCAGGGAGTTGGCTGGAGGCAGCAGGCCAGAGCCATTCCCAGGAATGTGCCACCTGCTCCCCAGGAGCTGCTTCCCAAGGGACTGGGACTGTCCCCTGGGGCGAGTGCAGCTCTGGGGCTGCAGAGGACACCCTGGGGTGTCCCAGGAAGGTTTTGTCCCTTCTCCAAGACCATTCCCCCGTGCTCAGGGGGGATTGAACTCCCACACCTCCCCGCCTGGACTCACAGCAAGGGCTCCAAAGGGAAGGAGGTGTCCGAGCTGGCCGTGGCTCAGGAGAACCTCCAGGTTTTCCCCCCGACACGAGGTGCAACAAATCCCCTCAAAGCAGTTCCACGAGCTAAACCCACATCCCGCAGCCCAGGGCCTCAGCGGAGGCTCCTGCCCGTCCCAGGGCCGGCTCCTCACCTGCGGGAGGGCGGAGTTGAGCTGCCTCTGGAGCTGGTCCCGCTCCCGGAGCGTCTCCTGCAGGCGGCTCTGGGTCACCGACAGCGTCTCTCGCGTCTCCCGTAGCGTGTCCAGCAGCTTGTCCCTCTCGTCCAGCATGTTCACCATCAGCTGCTCGAAGTCGGCGTCGGCCTCCGAGCCCTGGGGGGGCCCCAGGGGGTCCCCCTCGCTGATGGTGGGCATCACCTCGCACATCATGGCGGGGGGGGCTGGTGGTGCCTGAGGGGTGGGCGCTGGGGGCCGGGGGGTTCGGGGCCCTGCTCACATCACCACGGGCTCCCACGGGCCGGGGGAGCTGGGGCAGGAGGGGGCAGCGGGGTGCTGGAGGTGGGGGGATCCCCCATCCCCGGGGCGCTAAGGGGATGTTGGCATCGCCCCGGCCGGGATGGAGGGGTGGCCTCGGCACCAACCGGGTCCTGGTGGTCTCAGATCCCCCCGCTCGTCACTGCCGGGGTCCTGTGTCACCTCTGGGCTGCCTCCAGGAGGGGCTGCAGCATCAGGGGCTGCTCAGAGGGGGGCAAAGTGACCCTTGAGGACTCGTCCCAGTGGGGAGCCCGAGCCAGCAGCAGCACAGGGAGGGTCCGAGGGGGTTTGGGGCTGCCCGGGCATGTCTGGGGACGATGGGCTGCTCTCCCTAGGGCCGGGTCAGGTGTCACTGCCCTCGTGGGAACGTGTCTCCGCTGGGCATCGCAGCTCCTCAAACACCTACAGGAGAAGGGACAGAGATCAGACCCCTCCTGCTGCCCCCAAAATGCCCGGGGGGCACCTGCCCAGCCCCCTTTGCCCTCCCATCAAACCCTCGAGGCTCAGGACCCGCAGGAATGGGGCTGTACTGGGTTGTACCGCCCTGCACCCACCACACTGCACCCAGGATGGCACCGAGCTGCAGGGAACAGCACCCCCAGCACCCAAAAATCCTGTCACCACCCCTGGCATTCACATATCCTGGGCCAGGATCCTGTTCCCTCCCTGGAGCCCCTGGGCTGCCCAGGAACCCCACAGCCCGAGTGTTCTCCAGCCCCAGGGAATTTACATTGACAGAAAATCAGGTTTAAACCTGAGTCTGGCCCAGACCTGGCAAGGAAACACGGCTACAGATGAGCTGAATGATTGGATTAATGTTCCCCTCCTCCGTGTCCCCCTCCCTTGGCAGCAGCAGGACAGATGTGCTGGGACCAGCTGCTCAGGGACAACTGAACTCCAGCACAGCCTCCCTGGTCAAACCCTTCCCAGGGCACAGAGGTGTCCCCAAATTCCTGCCCAGCACCATTCCCTGGCCAGTGCCAGGGAGGAGAGGCTGGAAGGAAGAGGCAGAGCCACCAACCTGGGCCTGTGCTCAGGATTAAAGCCTGGCTGGGCCTGGGGGCTCAGCACTTCTGTAGCCCCAAATCATCACAAGGTGCCAGATGGGCACAGAGGCTTCAGCCCTCTGCAGCCGGGGGAGAGTCCCCAGAAGTGAGGGTCCACGTGCCACTGCCACCCCCAGCCCCCCTGGGGACCTGCCCACCCCTCATCACCATCTGTGCCAGGGGACAAACCACAGGCAGGGCAGCAAAACACGACATGGTGAGTGCAGGGTGAGGGTTGCTGCAGGGTGAGGGTTGCTGCAGGGTGAGGG